CAAAAATAGTATTTAAGACGTTCTTCTGCATTTAGCTTGCAGAGTTTTGGATCTGACTGGAAGACAGTTATCTAGTTATAGAGGCAAGGGGAGATGGCAGGACAGGATAGCGTCTTAGGAAAAAACCTTTTTGTTTTTGTAGTTGATTCCAGAAAACGCAAACCCCTGCACTTAAAGTTAGTTAATAATCTGTATCATTCTTGATATTTCGTCCAACTGCATTGTAAAGCATAATCTAAAAGGGGTGGCGGGGATCAGGGTAGTATGTATTACCATCCATGCTCTTGCTATTATGAGGGCCATAAGAAATAGCAGATGTCTCAAACAGGTACCAGGTGCAGTAGCCTGACAGGGTACCCCACTCACCCCCAAATCTAACAGTTTCATCCAGAGCTATTGAAGCCTCGGGAATTAGCTGTGAACTTCCTTCTCTCTCCAAAGCTTTATAGTGTTTGATGGCATAAAATCAAGGGATGGTTCAGCCACAGAAACTGATGTTCTTTCCCCCTTGGACATCCAAAAGGCAGTCTCAAAATGGAGGGAGAAATTGGAGCGGTCCAAAGAATTCTTAGCCCCAGCCCGAGTTTAAGGAGTTTGAAGCCAGGAGATCCTTTCCCTTTCACCAAAGCAACTGCAAGAGGAAATTGTGCACGACCATCAACCCTCTCTTCAGAACACTTACAAAGGGTCTGTGGAGATTCTCAGTCATCCAGGTCATGGTTGTCCCAAAGGTGCTTTTTCAAGAGGCAACTGGACTTTCTGGTTTTTCTTTGAAGACCTTTCACTTCTTGGATGAGAAGCAAAATGTTTTCAAAGAAAAACCAGAAAGTCCAACTGCCTCTTGAAAAAGCACCTTTGGGACTTACGAAGGGTGCCAACTATGCATAGCTTGGCATAGTTGGGCCTGCCTGGATTGGTAATCTGGAGTCTCCCAGCTCATTTTAAACTTCCATTCTCCATTTTCCTTAAAAAGGACCTCACCTTTAGATCAACCGAAGTGGCCAGAATGCAAAACCTGATCAGAAAACCTGGATAATGTGGCAATAGGATTTGCAGGCATTGTTGAAAATTCAGACGGTGGGAAAAGTGGGAGATGGAGGAAGACATCTGGGGGCTACAGGAGCACCTCAACTGGAGGCCAAAACAAAAGCCAAAGCTCCATGGAGGTTAAAGTCTGCGGCAGTACCTGTGGCAGAACCAAGGAGACATAGCTATAAATGAATAACAGGTATCCAGAAATGAACACGAAACACAAATCTGAATGGAACCTCAAAAGGGATAAATCTGTGTGTGCGTGCATGTATTTTACTCCAAAGAACTTGTAACACCTTCCCCACAACTCCATGAGGGACACCTGCATATTCATCATGAAGAACTATGCCAAGAATGGGTTGTGAGAAATGAATCACGTGGCACATATAGCCTGCAAGAACTACAGTTCTAACAGAATATTTTTATACATAGATCAAACTAAGGACCTAGGTGACTGCAAGTTATTAGTGTATAATATGTGAGTTTTTTAGATGTTACTATGCTGCAAACTCAGGATCCTTCACCAGTGGCCGGTTGCCTGGCATTAATTGGTTCTCATACAAAATCGGAAAGGTCATTATACTTGATATTGGCGTGAACTCAAAAAGATTTCATACATGCTTGGTTTAAGTGAAAGGACTGAACAAGAACGAGGATCTTAGAAGAGAATTCCAAACTTCCTGGGACGTATGTGATCATAACTGAGTTTTAGGTACCCAATTATACATATCAGAGCAAAGTGTCTTCAACTGGAGGGCTTCATTTTTCTGTTAGACCTTGGCATGTTTTAAGCAAGATTTGCTGACTATGTCACAATACCCATGTTTATAAATCAAACAAGTCTGCTTAATTGACTGAAACACAGGAAATTATCTAAGGGATTTGTTTATGTTCAGATCTTTTTCACTTTATTGATTACTGAAGACAAGTCACACACCTTGAACATATCATAAACCAAGGATGAAAGCATCTGCATAACTTTGCTCCCTTGCTTCATATTACCAGATATCTTTTAATCTACTAAAATACCAAAGGGAACCCTGTGAAAATCTAATCTGTATCTGTTCATCTTTTGGCAGAGTATTACAATAACTTTTCAAGCAGTCATTAGTTTTTAAGATAATTTGGGATCATATAGTCATGGCTCACTGTTATCTTAAAAACCTCTAATGGCTGTTTGAAAACTTATTTAAAAAGTCTTACCCTTCCTTTATTTAACTTCTTTAATAATCCACTTATATTATTACACTTGTAGCAACAGCAAGAGGTTTTTGCTACATTTGGAGACTAAAATATTCTATCAAACAATGAACATAGTTTTTGTAGAGTCTTCCTTCAAATATCCTCCCTCCAGCCAGGAAAAGTAAAAGATGCTGCTGTGAGGAAGAAGTGGAATCACTAACACTACACCCTTACATACAAAGACTCTTGCTGGGAGTATCTAGTATCTTAAATGTCCTCAATAATAAAGAGTGGAAAACATTGCAGGAGTTAAAAATTACTTGCCATGTAGAAAAAAGGTTGTATCAGAACTGGGCAGTTCAAATTAGTTCCTCTAGGATTACAGCTGTCTGGCTTCACATTTAAAGTCTCAATCTCTGGTAAGCAAGCTGGGAAGAAACGTCTGTAATAAAACTATCCTACAGTGAATGAAGTTAAGTGAGTCACACAGAGGCATACGCTTTTAAGGACAGAAGCAGCAGCTTCTAGCCGTTCAAGTAATCTAAAACAGCTTTAGTGTTGGTAGTTGTTTTATACAACATATTGGGCTCAAAACCAATTTCTATCACCCTTTTGTAACAATAACCCCCCAAAAGGTACATATTAACGTGGGTCACATTTTAAAACTCATCAATCACTGAAGAGGACTTGAGTCAAGTCAAGGGAACCAGGCCCACATTCTTAACATTTCAAACTGCATTAAGTCGTTTGTAGAGAATTACAAGAGTTCCACCAAGCACTCGCTTTTTAATTTACTATTCTGTGCTTTACTTGTCTGAGGACCTAATTCGGACTCTTGGTCTAGTTCTTTCTTTCCAGACTACAGGAAGAAGTAAAAAGGTTCCCCAAATTGTTTCCCGTAGCTGGACAAATTGCTATTATGTACCATAGATCCAGATCAGGGATGTCAAACTCACAGCGTCACGGCAGCCTCATGTGATGTATCGGGACTTTTTTCCATTCACTAAATTAGGTGGGCGGGTGGCCAGTGCGTGACACATCTGGCCCGCAGGCCGAGTTTGACAGCCCTGATCCAGATCTATTCATAAAGATAATATTACTTATAGCTATGTTTTTCTATGCTATTTTCCACATCTTCTTTTGTGCAACTTCAGAGGACACTTTTCCTAAAATGCTGTCCCCATACTACAGGTAATCCTCGACTTACAACAGTGACCATCTGAAATTATAATGGCACTGAAAAAAGTGACTTATGACCATTTGTCACACTTACCACCTTTGCAGCGTCCCCATGGTCACATGATCAAAATTCAGATGCTTGGCAATCGGTTCATATTTATGACGGTTGCCATGAACTGGGGTCATGTGATTCCCTTTTGCAACCTTCTGACAAGCAAAGCCAATGGGGAATCCCAATTCAGTTAAAATCCTGTTGCTAACTTAACAATTGCCCCGATTCAAATAACAACAGTGGCAAGAAAGATTCTAAAACAAAAGGTTTCTATGATAAACTGACTGACTTAGATAAGATTTTGACAGGTACTGATGAAAGGGTGATTAAAAAATTGTATGGATATCTGTTAGAAATTAAACTAGAAGAAGAACAAGTTAAAGAAACTATGATTGCTTGGGGGAAGAATTTTGAATGGCAAAAATTGTGGTCTGAAAATTATAAAACGACAATGTCAACAGCATATAAAGAAAATTTGTATAAGATGTTTTACAGGTGGCATTTTCCCCCTGACAAGAACAGCAAGAATGTTCAAGAACAAATCTGAAAAATGTTGGAGATGTCATCAGACGCCTGGCTCATATTACCATATGTGGTGGACTTGTGCGGATGCCAAAAAATACTGGACTAAAATCCACACGTGGTTGGAAAAAATGACAAAAAAGCATATAGACTTGAAACCAGAGATATTTTTATTGGGAATTTTACCTGAAATATATAGTAAAGAATTGAAATACCTGATTGTAAATGTATTAACAACGGCTAGGATTGTATTTGCCAAAAACTGGAAAAATGAAAAAATACCATTACAGGAGGAAATCATTAAGAAAATATTGGAATGTGCTGAAATGAGTAGATTGACATTTGAAATCAGAGAAGAAGATGATAAAATTTTTAGAAAATTTGGGATCTATTCTATCAATGGTTAGACAATAAAACATGGTAATGAAATATGTAGATTCTTAGAAAATAATAAATATATAAAGATGTATTCTTTTCTTATTATATCTACAAAATGATTGTAGGATAGATTTGAGATGATAATATGAACTGTCATAAAACACATTAAGTAAAATATGGATTATTTTTTAAAACATAAATGAATAAAAGTATATTCAAATGATTGACAATGATATTAATGTATTTAATATTTGATTGAAAATATGAGAATATATACAACGTAATTGTAATTGAAGACTTCAAAATGGAAGCACAAAACAATTTGTAAACCAACAGACACACTGTATGTATATATATGGATGATGGCTTGATGTTTTTGTTTTGTTTGTCTCTGTTTGTCTTAAAAACCAATAAAAAATTTTTTTTAAAAAAGTAAAATATTGATTTCAGAAATATATACTTGATATTCACTCTCTTCCCCCCTCCCAATGAAAGCATCCCCTAACTGGAATCTGGTATGAGAAAACATCAAACAAATGTAGCTTTTCCTACAGCTTCACTGTGGCTGTGTTAAACGTGTACCACCGCTTTATTGCTGCTTAACAAGAATTTTATATCACTGGAGCCAAAGAATATTCTTTTATTTAAAGAAAAATACACTGCACTTTATGAACATCATGAAATATCCAAACACATCTCTTTTTTTTTCAGAGCGCTCAGCAAGAAAACGCATATTTACACCATATAACCACAAGATGTATTTTCTCACCAATACTCATCAGTAGTTATACATATGACACTAAAGCCTTTTTGAAACTAATTTGAATTTTACACAAGCATCCCATTTGGTTTCGTATAGATATAAAAAATTATAATTCCTGCTGTTCTTGTCTGTTACAAGAATAAATATTTCACTGTTACTTCCAACAAGCCCTGGGGCCAACTGGAAGCTTAGTTTTCTTTTGGTAGCATTTTTACGACATTTAAGTTAATCATGTCTTACTCAAATGTGCTAATTCAGTTAAATCAACTTATGTGTTTCAAAATGTAGTTATTAGAACTGTTAAAATGTATAGGATTAAACAAAAAAACTAACAAAGTTTCAAGCTGTCAGGAAAGTGTTCTTCCAATATACTGTAGGTCTTCCCTCTAAACAATATTGAAAAATCCTCACTGATGAAGCTCAATGCAGTACAACCTGCAGTAAAAATATATACAACTTCCAAGCATCCTAGTGCACAGATAAGATTTAACGGGATTTTAAAACATGATTTCTGTATACCTGTCACTCATTCTCTCTCCCATGAGAGAATGCACAAGTCACTAAGTGTAACAAAAGAAAATGGATTTAAACTATGAAATTATAGTACTTGCCAACAAGAATTGGTAGCAATCAACACGGCATTAAGCTTCCCTATAGTTAATAAAATATCTGTGACTTATATCTATCTTAATATATTCTGCAGTTTAGATGGAGCCTTTTTGTGGTAGTAAACAGAGCATTGTAGAAGAAAACTGGAATGGCCAGGATGTATTGGAGTCCATAGCTAAATCTATATTTTACTGAAATGTACTTACATTGAAATGGTCAGAATAAGTAAAGAGATTATTTTCTTATTATATTTGTTTAAATTCAAGTTTTTGGCTGGTAAAAACAAATCAACAACATTTGGCAGTTACACAATCTATACAACTGTATGCCTCCCATGTACCACAAGACTCAGCAACATATAGAACAAGTGTTCTTGATTTTCACATTTCTGCATTTTTTTTTCAATATCTACAAAGGCCAAAGTACACCATCTCTTGGGTTACAGTGTATTACATTTCACTAAAAAAAACTTGATAGTTCCTAATGACTTCTGAAATAAGCACAAAGTTTAGTATCATAATAAAAATCTAGTACCAATTGCAAGATGGGCTTTATCCAGTGAGATAACAGATTAGTTTTGCTGAAAATCTTATTCCAAAGTATTTCTTTTTTCCATGCTGTCATCATCCCAATACAATCTTCAGGAGAGACTTTTCAAAGGCATAAAATATATGTATATGGCAGGGGAGGAAGGGAACCAAACCAGAATACTAATGGATCCTTTACACTTTTTAATAGTAATGGACCTCTGGTCTGGATTTCTATAAATGATAAGTTTATAAATAGAATATGTTCGGCATACTGTTCCTGTATTACTTTTCAAATGAAGGTCGATCTGTTGTCCATTACTAGTTCTCAACTGTGATAATCCATCTACTCTGACTTTAATCTAAAAAAAAAAAAACACACAAGCAGATATATTAGAAAGAAAATATACATAATAGTTGGTCCAGGTTTACTGTGAAGATATACCTGCCTTTTTACAAAGACTTAATTTGTTTAACTTTCTAATTTTTTTCATAGAATATAGTTGGAAGGGAACTCAAAGGTCTTCTAGTCCAACCCCCTACTTGAGCAGGAGACCCTATACTATATCAGACAAATGATTGTCCAGTCTCTTCTTGAAAGCCTTCCGTTATGGAGCACCCGTAATTACTGAAGGCAAGTTATTCGATTGGTTGATTGCTCTCAACATTAGGAAATTTCTCCTTAGATCTAGATTTATTCTCTCCTTGGTTAGCTTCCAATCAGTTTCTTGTCTTGCCTTTTGGTGCTTTGGAAAATAATCTGATCCCCTTGTCTTTGTAGGAGCCCCTCAAATATTGGAACATTGCTATTATGTCTCCCCTAGTTCTTCTTTTCATTGTACTAGACATACCCAATTTCTGTAACTGTTCTTCATATATTTTGGCCTCCAGCCCCCAAACGATTTTTGTTTTCTCTTCCCTGCACTCTTTCCAGATTCTCAATGTATTTTTATATTATTTTTTGTACTTTTAAATCTGTCTCTCCATCCATCATCTATATTTATATCTATTTATCACAGACCTGTAATTCTTTCATTCTGGTTTTCAAAGCACAACCTATGCTTCTACAATGAATGCATAAAGAGATGAATGCATAAAGTTTCTACTAGGATATAAAGTAATAGGAACAATACAGAGTCATATATACTCTAGTCATGTACACATGGGCTGCAGAGTGTACATGACATACAGAGTCCCCGTGGTCATGTGATCAAAATTCAGACACTTGGTAACACACTCATACAGTATTTACCATGGCTACAGTGTCCTAGGGTCATGTAAATATCCTTTTGCAACATTCTGGCAAGCAAAGTTAAAGGGGAAGCTAGATTCACTTAACAACTGTGTTACTAACTTAACAGCTGCAGTGATTCGACTAACAACGGTGGCTAGAAAAGTCATCAAACGGAGCAAAACTCACTTAACTGTCTCACTTAGCAACATAAATTTTGGGGTTGATTGTGGTCGTAAGTCAAGAACTACCTGTAGGAATCTCTAATACCTTTTAAACCATGTTTCTAAAAACCTAAGCCAATATAAAAGTGTGTTTCCCAGCTGAAAGCATTTCAGAAGGATATTCTGGTTGAAACCTGCCAAGATGCTCAGCAAAACAGAGAACCCTACTTTGCTGCCAACTTCCTAGAAGTCCTAGATAGTCCTCCAAGAGGACTAAATTGTCTACTCACAATGAGCCCTAAAGGCTGCCCAAAGATAATCACATTGTGGCAGGTAATATTTATACACACATCCACGCTGTGCAAACTCATACAGATTTGATGCAAGTCAAACCGCATTATATGTGGAATATACGAACACCCTTCCAGTACGCATTATGGCAGCTTATGCAGGGAAATTAGGTGCCATGATTCTTTTCATTCATCACTCTTGTTATAGATAAAGCAAAGAATAATTTTATACAGTTGTTTTAAGTGTAATTTGACACTGACCTTTCTTGTGAGTACGTGTTCAATTTTCTTAATGAATCTGGATCTGAACATTCTTGGGAGTCCAAAAGCAACTTGTCAGAAGCCTTTGATATGGTTGTAGAATACGTTTGGTTGAGTTGATCTCTGTCACAACATTGATTAAACAATTTCTCATTGCAGTTGTGTACACTTCCATAATTTATTTTACTTCTATGCAAGAAAGTCATCTGAGAGTCTTCTTTTTTACCATGTAATTTCTTTGAGCTGTTCATCTCTAATTTTTTCAAATTAACACACTTCAATTGCAAATCTGAATTCTGTGGACCTTTCTTGTTTTTATTTATGGCAATCTGCGGTTCAGAGATCTTCTGAATGGAGAGTGGATCATAAATAATACGTGAATTTGGTAGCTGAAGGTCATCACAACTAGCTGATCCAATGGATGCAGTTTTGGAATACAAAGCGCATCCAGAAGCAACCAATACATCTGCTGCATTGTTTTGCTCAAAAAAAACATCTACTTCTAGCTTCAGTCCACAATGAGGCTGTTTGAACTGGAATGTGAGACCTTGTCTACCAAGAAGTTCTTGAATTGTAAGTTTGGCCTCATCATTCCAATATTTCCCATCAGCAGGTATCACTCCAAACAAGGAACAAGGATAGGTTAATCGTGGTAAAGTAACTAGATTTTCTGAGATAATCTTCAGCTTAGAGACGTCAGAGATGGGAAGGGGAGCCGATAAGCCCTCATCAATAAAAGTAAGCATTAACGTACTGGAGTCTTTGAGTACTTCAGAAACTTCAACTCTGTTCCAGTTTTCATTAGGTCCATTTTTTATTAAGCAGCTGGCACCAGGAATTATACATTCTTGTGGCATAGTTGGGAGGTTTTCTGGAAGATTAGAGAGCATTTTGAACAAGGCTATCAGAGTTTTAAATGAATCTTCTAACTGAATATAGAAGTTTGAAGGATCAGTGACTGATGTGACAAATCCAGGATAGTGATTATTCTTCTGAAATTGTGCCCATGAAATCGAATTTGACCTGATTGAGATATCAAGTGATTTGCTAACATTATCTGTCTCTAATAAGTTATGTCTCCCTAATTTTGTTTGGTTAGATATTTGATTCCAATATTCCAAAAATAAAATTCCATCTATTAAAATATCTACTTCCCAAATAAGCTCAGATTCTAAGTATTTAAAAAATATAATCTTTATCTCGCAATATTTTACCTTCTCCATCATTCCCTCAAAAGACAAATCACTTAAATTTCCAATCTGAATCCATTTACAAAGCACTGCATTCCTGGGAATACACCTTATTTTTTCATTCAGCACATGTGTATCATGCAGTGACACCATTTCATACTTTCCTAAATCCACTAAGAGGACCAACATACATTCCTCCTTCACATATTTTTTAATAACTTCAGATCGATACCATCCCAAGTGTTGGTTTGATCTTACCAAACATTCTAATCCTTCTCCAATTTCTTCTGTAGCAATAAAGCACTTTTTCTCTATCTCTTGAGCAACTAGTACATTTAAATTGAGCATTGTTTGTGCATCCTTAGTTAACTTCACATAGAAGTTTCCATTACCTGAAATATGACCAATTTCAGCTATTTCTATCTGTCCAGGCTTTATATTTTGGTAGCCAATCTTAGTAGGTCTGATTATACTGCTTCCACATAAAGTTTGACTTTCTGATTTTTTACCTGGATCATTACTAACAGTTTCTGAATCTATTGTTGGGAGCTGTTTCATGTTGTGGTCAAAATTTAGTGAAAGTATGTTCTCTAGGCCTAAAAGGATTTCTCTCTCCATTAATTTATCAGAGATAGATATTCCATGACAGATTATGTCAACCTCCCACTGTTGGTCATACTGTTGTAGAAACTTAATAATGACTGGCTGATTATTTACCGCATTGATAAAGTAAGCATCCATATCAGTACTCCAGTTTTTATTTGAAAACAAGCACTTTGCTTTACTAAGGAAGCAATGTATGCTGAGTCTTGGTAAACTGAATAAAGACTTTTTAATTTTGTAGATATTTTTTGAATTCACGGTTTCTACATTACCATAATCAATGAATTCTACTTCAAAAAACTTATTGGCTAGGACTTTTCTAATTAAAGCCCTGTATATGCAACTATCACCTTCATAGTCTGCTAAAACAACATCATCTTTCTCAAGTTCAGCCTCTATTTCTGATTCTTTAACCAGTGTTTCTCTATTCAATTCCCCAGCAAGTTGCACAATTTTATTTTCATCCTCTGAACGATGAACATAGAAATTTGAAATATTACCTACGTAAGAAACATAACCCCAGACTTTAGAATTTAGAAGAATGTCAAGTTGGGGAAGATCAGCGTACTTTTGCTTAGTCTTATTGGTTCTTTCTTGTCCTGAAGTGTCTAATTTTAGCATATGTAATCCAGTCCTTTTATTTTTAATTTTCTTTGACTGTTCATTAAGTTGATCAATGGTGTCAGTATTGGGTTTTTTTTGAGTACTTTTATATCTGTATCTCAAAACTTTCTTCAACACAAAATCTGAAAAATCTACAGTCAATGGAAATTTTGCAGGTCTACAATTCTGCTTCTGTTGATCAATTACTATTTTGTTCCTATATTTAACAGGTAATTTATCATTGCCTGCTTCTGTTTGCTGTTCATTTTTTTCACTTTTCACTTTTTTTTTCTCTGTAGCCAACTCTATTTTATAAGGTTTATTTCCAGCATATTTTTTAAAATGTTTTTTAATATCGTTTGGGTTCAGTTTTTTTTTTTGCTTTAGTAAATCTTTAATCTTTCCATTTATTTGTAGTTCTCCATCATACAACTCCATACCGAACTGCCCATCAGATTCTTTAGACACTATTACTGCCTTCAACTCTTTTTCCAAATATTTTTTTTCAAACCATGCTTTTATTTCAGATGGAATTTCAATATCCTTTAGATCTGATAAATAACACTTAATAGCTTGCATAGGTGTGAACATTAATTCTGAAGCACTGTTTGGAATAGGAACCAGTTCCTCTTTGGCTACCAATTGTTTATTTCCATAGTCCACAAAATATACTTGGCAGAAATCTGATGATTCCACAGGAGATACTAAAGCTCTATAGAAGAGTCCATCCTCAAAATATTTCACTATGCATAAACTGTGAGTATTCATTTGGATTGCATGGCTTGTTTTGGGGCTAATTTCTGAAATCTTTTTAAGTATCTTGTCCATCTTGTTTGCATTTCTACTTAACTGGCAATAGAATTTTGTAGGGCTATATATATAAGATACATATACTTTCTCTTCATTTCCAACTTCTATATTAAAAGATGAATAATAAAAGCTACATAGAGAAAATGGTGTTATAAGAGATTGCGCACATTCAAAAGAGTAAATTTGTGCACGGCCACTTTCAAAGAGAAATTGTCTTAAATTAGTAAATGGAGTCTTCAAATCAACAATGTAATATAAATAGTCAGGAGTCTTAAAAACCAGGGCACAAATTAAACAAGTCAGTTGTCCATTAGAAGATGAAACAAAACTTTTAAAATTGCTACATATCTCAGTAGTCCAAATATAGGGGTCAAATATTAAGGATTCACTGACACTATTAAAACAACATCTGAATGCTTGACATTCCAAAATTAAGAAGTCTGGATGAATAGCTTGAAGATCTTTCAACAAAACCCTTTCCCTGTTACCATAGTCTACAAATATTACATCAGTTTCAGTTTTGGATACATGTTTCAGTACAAAAGCTCTGTACCATTTTCCATCTGTAGAATATTTCACAACACAGGCAAGTTTTCCACTTTCATAAGGTCTTTTTTGAGTGTTGTAAAAATTCTGAATTTGTTCCATCATATTATTTAGCTCGGGTAGCTTATTTTGTATCTGGCATAAAAAACTGCCTGGTGAAATAATATGACAACATACAACATCAAACACACAACCTGGTTTAAATCTGTACTCTTTATAGCATTCTACTTTTTCTGTTTTCCCAAACATTTGCTCATATTTATTGGAAAGCATGTTTTTCCATGACGGGAAAATACTAACATTCCCTTTTGTCACAATGCGAGTATTCAGCTTTTTATTCTCATCAGTAGTTTTAGGCATCAGTGCTTTATTCTTCTGAATAGATGTTTTACTTAGTATTTCTCTATTTTTATAATTTTTTGAGCAGTTTCCTTGAAGGCCCCATACCGTTTTCTGAAGTGGATTTTGTTTTACCTCCCAATATTCTGCACATCCAGCCTCAATCATAAGCCTGAGAACATCAGTTTCCTTGGAGCCATTCATATACTGCACATTGACAATATAATTCTCCTTTTGCTTTGCAATGACATGCAGTGTGATTGGTTTGTCAACCACAATTGTTTTAAAGAAATCTGTTTCTTTTTTAATCCATATATCTTCCATTGGAAATGCATTAGCAAGTTTACAGCACATGGCTAAAGCTGGCAATTCTTGAAGCTCTGGAAGCAAAATCTTCACATCGAACAGTGGCACTGTGTCAGTGTTCCCAAAATCTAAAAAATAAACATCAACATTATTGTCTATGATTTGTCTAATGACAGCCCTATAAAAATACTTATCCTTGCTATATCGTGCACAACATAGTCTTCCAGGCTCTGGATTTTCTAGAATTTTAACACTGACTTCATCTCCATCATACACATCTGCAACCTTCTTCATTAAAGCTTCAAACTCATCTAAGAAATCATTCGTTTGCACCCAGAAATTTGATGGATTCAAAACATAAACTGCAAAAGCAACACAAACTGAACCTATTTTCATTTTTGCTCTTTTGTAAGGAACTGTTAAAGGGGAACACAGTAAACGAGTATCCTTTTCATCTGAAGAATAACTTGATTGTTGAGTAGTATTGCAAATTTTGTCTGCCAAGTTCACCTTAGAATTTTGTACATTCCCACTTGTACAAGAGACTTCCATGTTGTATTTTGGATCCACATCATTTTCCCAAGACAGATTGTCACTCGTCTGTGTCAATGCGCATTTACTTAATGTAACATAATATTTGTGCTCTTTACTATTGAACAGATTTATGCGGGCCAAAATAGTCTGTTGTGTTAATAGTATTTCCTTAAATTCTTCTAGCTGAGCATTTCTTTCCATTTCATCCTGATCACTAAGACATGATAGAGCACAAGGAAATGAAAACATGGGTACTGAAATAAATTCTGGTGGAAGCTTCAAAATATACTCAGAAGACACAGCTTCACAGTTGCCAAAATCCATAAACCAAATCTTCACTTTGTCAGAAAGTAGCTGTTGTATTACTCCTCTTTGCCATTGGCCGTCTTTTTGTCTAGCTGCACAAAGGGCTCCAAAATTGTCACAAGATGGAAGTTTTACTCTGCTAAGAGATTCATAATAAGAAAACATGTCTCTTGTCAATGTATCCAGCTCTATCTGTTGTCGAAGTAATTGGCAATAAAACTTACTAGGGCTAATTGCTACTGATATTTTTACTTTTTCTACAGCACCAACAGACAAAACTGGTTGAAGATTTCTTAGAACTGGCGGAATATTTGGTTGAATTCCAGCATCACAAATTAGAGTACCTGGCCTTGTACATTTCTGTTGCAGTAAATCCGGCATTTGTTTACAAAGCGGCTCATCTGGAAATTCAGTTAACATTTCAATAATAAGACAGAAAGTATCTGCATCAACAAGTTTTCCTATTCTGAATTCAATCACATCAGCAGCAATTTTGGGCACATGAAGAAGAAACATTTGGTTTGGCAGAGTGGCTTGTATATAACCTTTAATTTGCAAGCCTATCAGAGTTGAAAAGTAATTAAAAGCTTTGTTGGTCCATTTTTCTTCAATTGGAAGCACATTTGCAAAAATCCCATAAACCATTTTTGGAGGAAGTTGAAACAATTCATCAATGGGAGATGCAAGGTGAGTTTCATTCACTGCCAGTATTTTCCCATTGTCCATAGAATGTACATCATAGATATCATTTCTTTTTTGAATTACTTTTCCTCTATACCATTCTTCACACTCTGAGTCTTTGACTAAACAGAATTCACCAACTGCAACAGGATCTTTCACTTTTGGTACTTGTTGTATTTCCTTTTGCAATATATAATAATCTAGCTCATATTCTGTGTTAAGTTGGCCTTGAAATTTTACAAGGACTTCTTTTCGATGGTAGTATACATTAGTTACCTTCATATCAACATCTAGAAATTTTGTTGATGAAGATGAATCCATCCCACCTGAAAAAACAATATAAAATTTAACATTGTTAAATGTTTATTATTTATTTTAAAATAACTTGTTTATAAACAATTTTGATTATATTGACACAATATAATAGAGATGTTACAATCACTTCGATTATCAGCTAAAGTGATAGTTCAGATGTACACCAAAATATGCAGAACTTCAGACTGACATTTTTCAAAAAATATTAATAACTTGAATGATTTAATAGAATATGAACAAGCTGTATGCTTGGGCATCCCTTCCCTTCTCTCATGCTTTTAGTCCAATATTATCAATATAGGTTTTCCTTAGTTGGATGAAGTTGTGCCACTAAATTAGAAATGGGAACATTTCAGGGAAAAAGCAGAAACAATATGATAGGGTGCATTCACACTAAGTACTTTTATAAATCAGGTGCAGCCTGATAATAATTAAATAATGCAGCTATTGTTACTTTTAAGCAATAGTTTGTGGAACAAGCCACAATGTAAGGTCCACACATAGCACACAGTTAAATATAATAAAATAGGTCAGATTATGATATGCCAGTTCAGCTAGCAACAAACTATCTTCACAATTATACTTGGCTGGACAAATCTTTGTGAATGCTGTCTCCGTGCATTAAAGATTAGTTTAGTCTTGGAAGTCCTCAACTTATAAGCACAATTGAGTCCACAATTTATGTTGTTAAGTGAAGCATTTTTAAAGTGAGTTTTGCCCCATTTTCTTGCCACATTTGTTAAAGGAATCACTGCAGTTGTTAAATTAGTAACAACCTCACTGACAGGTTTCAAAAGGGGATCACATGACCCTGGGACACTGCAGCCATCATAAATCTGAGTCAGATGTCAAGCATCCAAATGTAAATCACGTGACTCTGAGGATGCTACAATGGTCCTAAAAGTGACAAACGGTCATAAATCACTTTTTTCAGTGCCATTGTAACTTCAAAAGGCCACTAAATGAACTGTTGTAAATCGAGGACTACCTTTATTGGATTTTCAACACATTCTCATTCAAACTGTCCCATTACAAGGTGTTTTAATGTTTCTCTTTCGACTTAGTTATTCATCAAATTTATATAAGCATTCTTACCTCACAAAAAAAGTGACTCAGGGCAGCATATACTAAACCAGTTCACTTACTTTTACACACACACCAACAACCCGTTATTATTCAAGAAAAAAATAAATGAAAAAATTGCAATTAAAGGCTAAGAGAGGGAGTACCAATGTGCCACCACCTCAGTATTAAGTCTTATATTCTGGATTTGCCATCCAGCGAAACAAGCAGCAAAACACCAGCACAGGAAAACGGGCTTAAGCACGCCCACAAACAGACACAAAATGCCTCATTTGAAAAGATAGTGAATGTACAGACCTCTTTGCCTTCCAAGTATTATCTAAAGCCAGTCTCCCGTTTAGGGCAGTATCGATGAACTCCTGTTTAAAGTGGCCCTTAAGCCTGCTAATGGACTTTTTTTTTCCTTTTTAATCGCAACTGAACTTGCAGAAATAAAGAGATACTTTTGCCCAATCCCTTGAACAGCAAAAAGCCTGAAAGGGAGAAGGAGGCGGGATTTCTCTCGAGGCTATTCCTTCCAAGGTTTCTTGACCCCGGGATTTTATTTATATGAAAGAGAATTCAGGCGGTGAAAGGATTCTTCGTCCAACAATCTGTAGTGGACCCAAGCGGCTCTCAGCGAGACTCTGAGCGACGCCAGCCTCCCTTCAGCGGTTTGCACCCCTAACGCCGCGGGATGCGAACCCCCTCAGCCTCCGACCGAAAAACGCCTTTACGGATCCGGCAGCGCAAGCAGCGGGGTGGTGGGGGAAAAGGAGGCCGCTGCCCTCGGATTGGCAGTTTTCGTAAGGCGGGGCAAGGTGGGGCAGGCTTAGCTAGGCCGCGGAGCGGGAAGGCGGAGGCGGTTTTCTTTTCTTTTTTTTAACTTTTAATTTTAATTCGATCAAATCTCACCTTTTTTTTTGGACCGCTTCACAGCAGCGGGATGGACGTAGTTACCACGAGGAAGGGGGAGGGGAGAGGAGGGTTGTTTCAACTTATTTTCCAAAGCACCAGAAGGCAAGACAAGAAGTAATGGATGGAAACGAATCAAGGAGAGAGGCAACCTGGAATAATTAAGGGAGAACTTCCTAACAGTGGGGACAATTCACCTGGAATGGCTTTGCCTTCAGAAGTTGTGAGTTGTTACATCATTAGAGGTTTTTAAGAAGAGACTGGACAAACATTTGTCTGAAATGGTAAAAGGTCTCCTGCTTGAGCAGGGGGTTGCACTAGAAGATCTTTTTTGAGATTATTTCAAAGCTGCTGGGCTTCAGCATTACCTGGTGTGGACTAAATTATAACAATGAGTGTGGGCTGAAGTATAGATGTTTTTGGATATCAACTATCACTGAAATATTAAGATACGGCCCCTTCACTGCGAGATAATACGTAAAGAAATGTTTGAGCAGAATAAAAGCAAAAATCTGACCAGGGATAATGAATGATTTACTTTTTCCAAAGTAAAAGCAGACAACAACAATAATAATAATCAGAAAAGAGCTAGATAGGACTGCAGAAAAAAAAAACAAGTGCAACCAGCCTTCCTTCCATTCAGGAGTCAGAAAGAGGGCTGAGAAAATAACTACAGATGCCTCACATCCTGGACATAAACAGTTTCAAGTCTTCCCCTCAGGATGCCACTATTGCATACCAAAACAACTAAACACAGAGACAGTTTTTCCCCTCATGCCATCACTCTGCTGAATACCTAATTTCCACAGTTTTATGTCTTAAGTATATTTACTCATGTAGAATGGCTGTATTATCCTTCTCATCTTTTCTATTACCTTCTCTTACCGGTATCTTTATTACGATTAGTATTACTGTTTTGCATGTACACTGAGAGCTTCTACAGTGGAGACAGATTCCTTATGTATCTAATCACACTTGCCAAATGAAGTATTCTGTTCTATTCCATTACATTTTCTATCATGTTCTCCAATTTCCTTCATTATATTGCCTTTTATAGTGCATTATAATATGCTTTTTCTATTATTGTTTGGTCTTTGACAAATAAAACTTAAGTAAGGTATTCCAAATGCAGACATACTATAGATTTGTATGAGAACATTATACTGTTGGCATTTTTATTTTCATTTTCTTTCCAAGTGCTGCTGTATACTTAGTCAGCATGTTCATCGGGCTGCCCATTACAATCTTAAGGACTTCTTCAGAGAGCTTAGATTTCATTACATACTCTGTATGTGAAGTTAGGGTGTTTTACCTCAATGTGCATTACTTTACATTAAGTTGAATTATCAAGTAGTTGACCTTTCATCCAGTTTAAAGATATCCTTCTGCAACCCTTCAATAGCTTTGGTTTATTATCAGCCTGCACAGTTTATATTGTCTGAAAATTTGGTCAGCATACTGCTTATCCCAAGAGAAGATAATTTATAAGAAGTTTTAAAAGCGCCATTATGAACACAGATCCTTGAGAAATTCCATTTCTTAATAATCTCTATTGAGAAAATTGCCCATTTATGCCTACATTTAACTTTTCCTAACCATTTAGCAATCCATAAAAAGACAGATCACCTTATTCTATAACTGCTACATTTACTCAGAGCCTTTAATGGGGAATACTGTCAAAAGCTTTTGAAAATCCAAATATTCACAGTTATCCTTGTAAACAAGACATAATATTTTGCCTTCTGCATTATTACAGGGAAGTTACTCTAAAATCCCATTTGAGAAACTTGTGTGCTCATGTGGAACTAGAGATGTTGAAATAATGCAGTGTGTGTTATTTTATTGTACCATCTATAGATATATTTGTAATACTTATATCCTGCCTCTTTTACATCAGTACCCTGGAGGATGTGACAAAATGTAGGTGCCCGTCTTCTTCTTGGATTGTAAGCCATTTATAACACCGACTGTAGCAAAACATTGGTGCAGAAATTATGAAAATTAGGCATCAATTGGTGAAAGGTCTCCCATAATTGTAATATTTTAATTTAATCTATTAAAATTGTGTGTTGTTCTAGTTTTATTTAAGATGTTTTAGCTGTTTTCAGTTGTACCTTTTATCACTCTCTTGGCTATAGCAAAGATTCATTTGCTCATTTGATCACTGTTAGTGATCATCTCCCTCCATGCGTCTGCTGAAACCCTCCAAAAATGTTTGCAAGTTCTTGAGGCAGAATTTAAATTGTGGAATCTATAGGTAATCCTCACTTAATGTCATTCATTTAGCAACCATCCAAAGTTAACTGGTGCTGAATGAGTAGTCCTTATACCTGATCTCCAAAGTAACTGCCATTGCAGAACCTCTTAACCACATGATCAAAATTTGGCACTTGGCAGCCTGCTCATATTTATGATAGCAAAAGTGCTTCAACTCCACCTATCTTCCCTCTCCCCACATCTCTGCCTTTTTTGGCTGCCATGTACAGTGGTGGTAGTTCTAGGATTAAAGCAGCCTTCAGTAGTCTCAGATTGCTGCCCACAACCCAGATCTCTACTTCAGCCCCAGTGCTCCCACCACTGGGCAGTGCTGTCTCAAGCCCCACTCTGTGGCCAGCCACTCCAGTGTTACAATACAAAGCTGTTGCACCACCACCCCAGCACTCCACAGCAATCCAACTCCTTTTAAGAAAAAAGAAATGATAGCATCAAAATATAATTTAAAAAATCACTTTTACTAAAAATAAGAAAAGGGGAAATGTAAATCTCCTTTTTTAATTGTAGGGACTTGTTGTAAATGCCAACAATTACAAGTGGATAATGAAGTATTTAGCACCCATAACCATGGAAGTAGCTTAAACACCAATCTCCCACAGAATGGTACAAAAGAGAAGTAATATTACTGAGCAGCATATGCAACGAGTCACCAATTCACTTTTGTCTGGAAATGCTCCACGTTACACACACTAAAAGAACCACACAATCCCACAGAGCATTTGTAGCAAGCATATATCTAGAGACAGTAATGATAGATACAATAT